ACATCGAAAAAGATTTGGACCCGATTGGACAAAAAGTATTTGCTGGTTTCAAGAAATTAAATAAAGTGCAATCAATCGTATATAGCACTGCCTGTAATACTAATAATAATATGTTGATTTGTGCTCCAACTGGTGCTGGTAAAACAAATATCGCCATGTTGACTATTCTAAATGAATTGAGACGGCATTGTGATCCTGAAACATTAATGGTAAACGGATCTGAAGAGTTCAAAATAATATACATCGCTCCAATGAAAGCACTTGCCTCTGAGATGACGGATAGTTTTGCCAAAAGATTGAAAGCTTGTGGAGTAAAGGTTAAGGAATTAACTGGTGACATGCAATTGTCCAAAGCAGAAATTATTGAAACTCATATGATCATTACTACTCCGGAAAAATGGGATGTTGTCACTAGAAAACCCAAAGGCGAAGTTGAATTAATGAAGTTGGTTAAATTGTTAGTTATTGATGAAGTTCATCTGTTACAATCTGATCGAGGTCCAGTGGTTGAAGCATTAGTTGCAAGAACGCTGCGTCATGTGGAATCAACTCAATCAATGATTAGAATTGTCGGTTTATCGGCAACATTGCCCAATTATGTTGATGTTGCTACATTCTTACGTGTTAACTTAAGAGAAGGATTATTCTTCTTCGATGACAGATTTCGCCCAGTTCCATTAGGGCAGACTTTCATCGGAATCAAGTCTACTTTTCCTTCAGCACAAATGAATGATATGGACGAAATTTGTTACGACAAGGTTCATCATTTTGTTTCTCGTGGTCAACAATGCATGGTCTTTGTCCATGCTCGTAATTCAACTTACAAAACTGCTACTACCATCAAAGATTCGGCTCAAATGGCTGGACATTTAGAGTTGTTTAGACCTGAGATGTCACCATCAGTACAAAAATTGATTGACCGTCCAACAAACGGGGTACTTCGTGATCTTCTCAAATATGGGTTAGCAGTACATCATGCTGGTCTTACCCGTACTGATCGTAATCTAGTTGAAAAACTCTTCAAAGAAGGAGTTGTGAAAGTGTTGGTTTGTACTTCCACTCTTGCTTGGGGTGTTAATCTTCCAGCTCATGCTGTTATTATCAAAGGAACAGAGCTTTATGATCCATCACAAGGAAATTATGTTCAATTAGATGTTTTAGATGTAATGCAAATTTTCGGACGTGCGGGTCGACCACAATACGATAAAGAAGGTTTTGCCACAATCATCACAACACATGATAAATTGAGACACTATCTTACTACCTTGACCTGTCAATATCCTATTGAATCTCAGTTTATCAAAAGCATTACCGATCATTTAAATGCTGAAGTTGTCCTCGGTACTGTAACAACTATTGACGAGGCTGTTGAATGGCTTGGTTATTCTTATTTCTACGTACGAATGACAAAAAATCCTTTAGTTTACGGTATAACTCATGATACTATTATTAATGATCCCGGTTTGATCAACAAAAGACGCGAGTTGATTATTGCTTCCGCCGTGGAACTAGACAAAGCCCGAATGGTCCGTTACGATGAAGACACGGGATGCCTTGATCCAACTGATTTGGGTAGAACTGCAAGTCATTATTATATTAAGTATAAAACAATTGAGATATTTAATGGATTGCTAGATGCTCATATGATGGAAGATGCTATTTTAGATATGATTAGTAACTCTCAAGAATTTGATCAATTAAAGGTAAGATACATCAATCTTGAATTTCATAAAAAAATAAACAAAATTTATTATACTTTAAATTTATTCAGTCTCGTGAGGAGGAAATGGACGAGCTCACTCATTTAAATCACAATTATACTTGGCTAAAAGTTGGTGGTTCAGTTGACGATAAAAATGGCAAAGTTAACGTCTTGCTGCAGGCCTATTTATCTCGAGCTAAACTAGAACAAGCTTCCCTTTCTTCCGATATGATGTACATTGTTCAGGTAAACTAAAAAATTATTTCTATCTAAAGTTGAGTAATTTCTAACAATTGTTTTTTTAATCAGAATTCCGTTAGAATCGTTCGTGGTCTATTTGAATATGTCTTGAGACGAGGATATGCTTCATTGGCCCATAAGTTTTTAACCTTGTCCAAAATGTTGGAGAAAGAAATGTGGCATCACGACTCTCCTTTTCATCAATTTGCTCGTTCCTTGGGTCATCATGATTTGGATAAAATCGAACGGCTAGGCATTACAGTGAACAAAATTAAGTCTGATGAACTATCAACTCGTGATTTATCTAACCTAATGAGGATTGAATCGAAAGGAGCTTTATTGAAAAAATTAGCCTACACATTGCCTTGTCTCGATATTGAAGCAACTCTACAACCAATTACACGAACTGTTCTTAGAGTTACTCTTCGTATTACTCCTTCATTCAATTGGGATGATTCTTTTAATGGTAAAAAAAGTGAACCCTTTTGGATTTGGATGCAAGATGCTGATAGTCAACATATCTATCATTCTGAATTTTTCAAAGTTACCAAAAAGCAAGCTATCAGGAAAGAAACTCAAACCTTGACCTTTACCATACCCTTATTGGATCCAGATAACCTTCCTTCTCATTACATTATCCATTCAGATTCTGATAGATGGTTAGGATGTGATCGAGAAGAATCAATAGCTTGTATTGGACTAGTGCTTCCTGAAAAATTTTTACCCTTCACCAAGTTGCTGGATCTAAATCCTTTACCAGTAACAGCCTTACAAAACTCTGCCTACGAATCGCTTTTCAAATTTACCCACTTTAACCCAATTCAAACTCAACTATTCCACACTCTTTACCATACTGACAACAATGTGCTTCTCGGTGCTCCAACTGGTTCTGGTAAAACAAATTGTGCCGAGATTGCCATTTTTCGAGCTTTCAATGTATATCCTGGTTGTAAAATTGTTTATATCGCACCTCTTAAAGCCTTAGTTCGTGAACGTGTCAATGATTGGAGGGTGCGATTAGAAGAAAAACTATCTAAACCAGTGGTTGAATTAACTGGTGATGTTACTCCAGATGTAAAGAAAATAATGTCAGCCAAAATAATCGTTACAACACCTGAAAAATGGGATGGTATCAGTCGTTCTTGGCAAACTCGTCAATATGTACGTGATGTTTGTTTAATTATTATTGATGAAATACATTTGCTTGGTGAGGATCGTGGTCCTGTTTTAGAAGTTATTGTATCTCGAACGAATTTCATCAATAGTCATACCGGACGTAAAATGCGAATCATCGGTCTATCAACAGCAGTGGCCAATGCTCAAGACTTGGCCAATTGGCTTGGAATTGAGAAAATAGGTCTCTACAATTTCCGACCTTCTGTTCGACCCGTACCACTTGAAGTTCATGTTTCTGGTTATCCTGGTAAACATTATTGTCCTCGAATGGCTTTGATGAATAAACCCACCTTTAAAGCAATTAAACAACATTCTCCAGACAAACCTGTGATAGTTTTTGTCTCATCTCGTCGACAAACCCGTTTAACTGCCCTTGATTTGATTGCCTTCCTTGCCATGGATAATCCTAAACAATGGGTACACATGAGTGATGAAGAAAACAATTATCTCATCCAAAACAACATAAAAGACAGCAATCTTAAATTGACCTTAGCTTTTGGTATTGGTTTACATCATGCCGGTCTTCATGAGAAAGATCGCTCCTTAGTGGAAGAATTGTTTCTTAATCAAAAAATTCAAGTTCTCATTACAACAGCAACTCTTGCTTGGGGAGTCAATTTACCCGCTCATTTAGTTGTTATCAAAGGAACCGAGTTTTATGATGGAAAAATTCATCGTTATGTAGATTTCCCTATTACCGATGTACTTCAAATGATGGGTAGAGCGGGTAGACCTCAATTTGACAAAGAAGGTATCGCTGTTATCCTGGTTCATGATATAAAAAAGGAATATATAAAAATTTCTATATGAACCATTCCCAGTAGAGTCACATCTTATCCCAGTCATTGAAGATCATATTAATGCTGAAATTGTTGCTGGAACCTTGGCAACCAAATCTGACTGTGTTGAATATCTTTCATGGACTTATCTGTTTCGACGTTTATTTAAAAATCCAAGTTATTACGAGCTAGCTGGCTCTGACTTACAAACAATCAATCTTTTCCTTTCGCAATTAACTGATCGTGCAATAAATGCATTACAGTCATCTCAATGCTTAGAAGTTGATGAAGATGACGACAGAACTTTATATGCAACTCCACTGGGAAGAATTTCTTCATTCTATTATCTAAACCACAAGACTGTTCGAATGTTTCAAGATCAACTGTCCAATGATATTAAAATTGAAAGATTACTTCACATTTTGGCCTCTGCAGCTGAATATAATGAGCTTCCAGTGCGACATAATGAAGATTTGTTGAATGAAGATTTAGCCAAGAAATGTCGTTTCCCAGTAACTCATGGAGCAACATATGACTGTTCACATACCAAAGCATATCTACTTCTTCAGTCTCACTTTTCGCGCCTTGAACTTCCTTCCACCGATTATTATACAGATTTGAAATCCGTTTTGGACCAAGCAATCCGTATTATCCAAGCTATGATCGACATTTCATCAATGAATGGCTACCTTGTTGCCACTTTAGGTTTAATTTCAATCTTGCAAATGATTATTCAAGCTCGTTGGTTTGATTCTCCACCCTTCTTAACCTTACCTCATGTTGATGAAATTGTTTTGCCTCAATTCAAGCGATTTCTTTCCTTACATTTGCCTGAATTAATATCAATTGTTGATAGTAAAGGATTTGCATTTTTAACAAGACATCTGGACAATATGTTAGATGTAAAACAAATTAGAGATATTTATCAAACAATCAATGGATTACATGATAAACTTAAAGGTAACCATTAAGAGAGCTGACGATGAAAGTCGTGCCGTTGATGTTGACCTCGATTTACCTGATACCTCAATTAAAGCACGTCATTATATTGAATTGGAAGCTGATACTGATTATTTGATAAATTTCATGGTTTCACGACCTCCAAGACCTGAAGCTAAACCTAGGAAACATGTTTTTGCGCCGAAATATGCCAAAGCTAAAGATGAAAACTGGATATTTATTATTGGTGATTCTAATACTCGAGAGTTGATTGCTCTTAAGCGTTCTGGTTTCATTGGAAATAAACCAATGACTATAAGTTTGATTATACGTACACCCACACAATACGGTCGATTCATTTATTCACTCTATCTACTGAGCGATGCTCTTATTGGATTGGACCAACAATATGATTTAGGAATAGATATTGTTTCTAAATCGGGACCATGAGTCGTTCTGTCATCTTTTGTTATTTCAAAATTCCTGTCATCAAACCCGGTTGTTTAAAAATTTGAAAATTTGCTAAATAAGATTCAAGATCTGAATTAGCACAAAAAAATTGTAAAGGTGATCAAATTTTTCCGTTTTGTAAAGAAAAATGTGATATTCTGATAGATGAAAATATTTATAAATTATTGATATAAATTAAATGCGTTGCTGAAATCAAGAATTACTTAGAATTTCATTCTTCTACATGTTGGGATGTTTTTTTTATTATTGATTTGTGATGATGATTGCTTTGAAATGTAGGCGATGATTGAATTAAACACAAATTGAGTTCACAAGAGGATAATCCACATGTATTTTGATGCATA